TGTCATGCCAGGCCGTTCAATTCTGAGGTACATGCCTCCTGTTAGTACCAATTAGCCTGGATTTTAATGTGAAAGAAATGAAAGATTTACAATTTTCCGGCTTAAACCATTTCCTTGTATAATTTTTGATCGGACGTTGTTTCACCGTCGCTTTTCACCTTGCTACTGATGTAGCTGACAACATTTCCATTCTTCTACATTTGAAGTCTCTTTATCGGCAAAATTCATACAGACGCTCTTGTCCATTCTTTCTTCTTGATACATACATTTGTGGCGCTAACATATAACTTATATAGCTTAGTGGATCGAAAGAGCTTTTCCTAGATGATAGTACTTTTCCTTGTACTTGTGTGACTTATGTACTTAAACTGGTAGTATATACACAAAAAACAGGCACTGGGTGCTTATTGAAGATTTGCAGCCCAGGATCGAGGGTCCTGGCATAAGCTACGCCTGGCGTCCGAGGGCATCCCAATGATAACACTAACAGAGGATACCCAACAGAACGTTCGGGTGATTTTACATCCGTTTGATTGCAGAAAAAGTTTATTCCGTATGGAATCAGTACATACGTGAGCCGAGGACGAATAACAGTGTACGTAACCAATTCGGCCTCCAACACTGCTGATACTGTAGAAGCGTTTCAACTTGATCAAGAACATCTGACGCTGAGGCATCTGAAAACGATCAGTGATACAACATTTCGAAGGTAAAACCTTTGCTTCATTCTTATCTGATTAAAAAAGACAAGTTATTCAACTGAACAATGTCTTTTTTCTCCGTTTTTAATGCAGTTTTGTGCATGTCGTTACAAAGTCAAAACTCTTCTCGTATTCGCTATGAAAGACGAAGTTGAGAAGTAGACCAAGTGGTAACAAGTGCAACAGCATCCATCTTCTGGCAAAACTATCGACGATTTCCTCTTTCGAAGGCTGCTTACAAGCAAACTGATGTGGATTTAGCTCCCTGGCCAGTACCAGCTTACCACTGAAACGAATGAATGAATCACTGAGGGAATGGTAATCTCAACGGTGAAGCCAATACTTCCCAGCTGCGTCATACCAGCCAGCAGTTTTGAGTAAAACAATCAAAATTTAGCTTAGCAGACATTGCGGTTGTCGGTGCGGATCGATTTTTCGTTACGAATTATGCGTACAGTCGAGCGAGATGGCTGCAAATTGTGGAATTTGCCCTGCAGACATCATTCGGTTCACTGGCTTATTACGATGGCCACAGAGGAATTTACCTAGAAAAGTTAGCATTTGTAATTTCAAATGCATTGTCCTGTTGCTTCAGCACGACAGTTATCAGTGTGATACTTTATCGTGATCTAGCAGACATACATCAGATCCTGGACTTTGTGCTGCCCACGATTTCTTCGTTTTTATGGTCAAGCAAGGTTTGGATCCTCGAATGAAAAGTTCGGGAGTGCGAAACTCAGGCTATTTTAATCCAAAAAATTTTAATTCGATGAAAATTCCAGATATTTCCCAGCACCTAATGGCATAGCTGTCAATAAGGCGCAAACTAGGCTGTATGTTGCAAGTACGATCAATGAGGTAAGACACGTCAGCATTTTATCAATTTTCAATAAATGGTACTAGACCTAATTATTATCTAGTACTAGACCTTTCACATAGTACTAGATCTAATTATTTTCTTTCCAGCGGCAGTACGAAATAATACCCATCTTTTTTCTAGTTACAGTATGAAGTACCAAATTCCAGTTCAGTTCATCACTACGTTGCTTATTACAGTACGTCCGCATCTATCATCTTCACAAAGATATGTCGATATCGCATGATGCAGAAATATCACTTCTTTCATCACCAAACAAACTTTTCATTGAGGAGGCTACTGGTGATATCTGGGCAGCTCTTCATCCAGTTCTTTATAAAGCTCATAAACACATACAGAATCCACTGGACTTGCAGCAACGGTCTCCGTCACAGGTGCTTAGGATACGATTACAGGTATCAATTGTTTGATATGCAGCCCAGGATCGAAAGGCTTGATATAGCCTTTGCGATCAACCTACTAATATCACTAGCATCGGATACCCATACCGATTGTTCGGGCAGTCTTGGTATTCTTGGTGTGTCTCCTGGAGCTGATATAGTTCTGCAAATTTCAGTGGTGGAAGGCAGACTCCGGAGAGAAGAGTTGATGTGTAAAAAGTCTTGGATAACCAATGATAGGTCTGGAATCATAACGTTTCTCGAATGTTAGGCTTTCTCTAACTCTTATCAGTTGCAGCCAGATGGTCAAAGCTGGGTAATAACGGAACCGTTTGCGAATGATGGAGCAACAGTTTGGGGCTCCTCTTCGGTCGTATTTCACAATGGTGCGCTACTCATTGGTAGTTTATTTGGTCGTCTTTTGCACTGTGATGTTGACAATCCGCATATCGTATGAGTTATAAGAGGCGATGAATGTGCACTTCTGGAGTACCCAGAAAAATTACACAGTACATAGATATCTCAGTCAACAGATAGGTGCTTCGTACTCAGATGGTACAAAACACTTAGGAAAACTAAAAATGAGGGGGAGATGGCGAGGTCGGAAAAGGAACGACTGTGGAAAAAAGGTCATCCAAAAATTCGAAAATGTGACTTAAAAAATACAGTTTTGTATATATTCCGATATTTTGACTAGGTGTGAGCTTCTTTTCGGTATTACACATCCGTTAGCTCCTTTTTTTGGTCTTCTCACATCCACATAATTCTACAGTCTTCATACTAAACCTTCTGCTATATTTGGTGGCCTTCCTTGTATTCATTTAACATTGTAAGGATACCGTAAACAATGTATGTATTTCTTAATTGGTTTTTTGATCTCTTATTGAAAAAAGTTTAAAGTAATGCAGTAAGAAAATATATTTGTCAAGACGCTTCTTTTCCTAATTTTAAACTTGTCAAAAAGTGCTTCTCACTGAAAAATTCTCTCTTGCTAAGGTGCTGTTTTTGCTGTCTTATTCTGCACGCTTTTTTTACGCCGGAATTTGAAGTACGAAATACGACTGCAGTGCGCTTAATTATCATTTATTTCCTTTTTTCACAGAAAAAAAGAATTTTTATGAAAGCAAAAATTGGAAAAAGCCAGTATGGTCCTTTGTCGTAACGGAATTTCATCAGGATCATAACTGTGATGTGCTGAAAGCCCACAGAGCTTTGCGAATCCAGGTTTACAGGCTGGTAACGGCGAAAGGGCATTTTAACTCGCAGCGGTCTTACGTTGCATCGAAATAATTTAGCTCGTTACTCGCGATCTCGTCGCTTTAGAATCGGGGATGTAGAGAGCTATCAGGTGTAACTACTTTAGGCTCTGTTTTCCCGTTTCATTTTGCCTAAGAACAGGGTTGACCTTGCAGGTCAACAATAAAAGATGTCGAAAAACGAATGATATACGTAATAATCAAAATTAAAAAACAAAGAAAAACGAATCGAAAATCACTGGTGCATTTTTGGGCAGAAGAATTCGGCATAATAATTTCACATAATTATACAACTAATTTCATATAACTGTGTCCTTTTTTCATTAGCAAGTAGTAAAAATCGCGTATGCTATTAGTAAAATCACATACATGGATACCCACATCAGTTGTCCAACGGACTTAGACGGTGATAAAAATTCACGCTTGAATATCGCTAACTTTTTGAAATAAAGGAAGTTTTTTGAGATATTATGATCAATGGAAAAAAGTTTACTTGGAAAAGATGTTCTGGATTTTGGCACTTTTTTGAGTCACTTTTTATATGAGTCAAATAAATAAATGAGACAGATTAAAAATGAGTCAAATAAAGAACTTTACCCTCACTCTCACCGGCTGTACCATAAGGCTTAATAACAATAGCGTGACAAAACGAAAAGTAATTCAAAGATTGGTTGCATTTGCACCAAATTCTCACAGAGTAAACTCACTGTTACCCCTCGGACTATCTCATTAAGCGGTTTCGATTTTCTTGAAATGCAGCTCCATTATGAGATATCAAGCTGGATTTTTCTCCTCCTTTAAAGTTAGGGATTTAAAAAGCATTTGCTTACATAAACTTCGGTCCGAAAAAGACCAGAGCTCGATCCTCTCATTCATATTCACGTCACGAATGAGGGAAAAGAAATGCAAATGCATTACGTCCACTAGATGGAATAAAAACTCACCGGATTCAAATTGCACTGTAGAAATTTTTACGTACTGATCGTATTAATAACTGCGACAAAACTGATGAAAGATTAACAGGATTTAATGGGAAAATTAAAAAACTGGGCAAAAATGGCACATTCTGCAAACGAAATCAAAATGTATGAAATACTGTGTTGACAAACATGCCCACCCTTTGTTTCTGCAAGCCCGAAAGTCTGGCCCTTTCCCTTCCAAATCGTTGCGCTTGCAGAAATTCTGACAAAAGCGATGCCACCTGGCAAAATCCTATTTCTGTTGCTAAACGGACGAAGCGGATTACTGAATTTCATCCACGCAATACTGAAAGAACAAAGGAAATACCGCCAATGCGATGGAAGAATCTACTTTCGGCTAAACAGAATTGTGTGGACGAGAAAGGCAAGTAAACAGAGAACGGAGAAGCTGCCAGACACATAACTGACAAGCAGAAACGCGATTGGTATTCTGTGTGAGAAGCTGATCACATAGTTTCCATGTACTGGTGCATTTCAATCAACAAAGCTGGATAAGCTTCTAAAGACCTAGGGTATCACTGATGCCGAGAAATGAGTTTAAAGACAATCTCGGGAGCATTTTGTATTCCGGTGAAATAGCGCTACAATTCAAGCAACAAAAAAGGACCTGCCAGTCACGGTGGTACGGAAGAGAGGCCTCATCCTGATGGATTAAGCATCCACAGATTTTTGCACAATCATTATTAATTCATTACACCAAGAACTTCGAGATAGTTGGTGTGGTTGTCGTTTGTTGGATAAACTTTCATGTGCTGGGAGCAGTCATGGCAGGCCCTTCGATCCCTCGCTACATACCTCTACCTAGTACCCAGATAAGTTCGAAGTATGTGCAATACCTCTTCGGAAGGCTATCTGAGTACTCACTAGTTTGCAACGCTCACTGCATAGGTATTGTAAGAAATGTCAAAGTCTGAAAATTTTTTCAGGAAAATCACCCCCATACCTTAGAGTGCCAAAATTTGTTTCTTATTCTTTGATCCAAGCAACCAGAAAAACAGCCACGGGAAGTGTCAAAAATCAAATGTGTACATGAAGAATGAATTACTCAAAATCAGGCTGAGCAAAGGAGAAACCGCCAATACTGGCCTGACGGCTTAGGGAGGGCGCTGTCGCTGGCAATGATTGCGACGATTCTGGAGAACTTTTGCTGCTAGTGATGGACGATACAGTGAGGTAACCGGCGCTGCTGTGCGGAGGCGAATTCTGCGACGAAGCTTCCGGCAGTGTCATTGGCGATAATGCTGTCGCAAGTTTGCCACGAGCTGTAAATGCACTGGCGCTCAAGTTGGTACCAATGAGGCCTGGGATCGGTAAATTTGGTAGCATACTGCTGGGCTGTTGACCTAGAAATGTCAAGAATAAACGAGAAATAGCCGAGAAATCATGCCGAATTGCTCAACCCTTATCTTCATTGCACGATTTTTTCTCATATTAAAAACGGGCAAATGTTAAACGATGTATATGAATATACAGGTATTTGAAAATTGCTAGAAAATCACGTAAAGGTTAGCAGAAAAATTAACCATCGGTGGTATTTGTCGCTGGAGTAGTGCTAGTAGTAGCAGTGGCTGAAGTGCATAGCATCAATGGATGAGGTGGCGTAGGCGATAATCCACCGGAATTTAGACACGTCGATCCAAAAGCGATATTCTCCGGGAATATCGGTGTCGTATCCATCTGGTGCAACTGGCTACTTGAATGACTCAATGACAGTTGACTTAGTGCCAGAGGATTGAATTCCGGTGATCCTGGGGGACGGTCATGTGTACGCATATGACGTGTTATCATATCACGCCTGCTCTGAAAAAGAAAGAATCCACAGAAGTTTCGGGAAAAGAATTCTTTGATTTCAATCCCGATTTTGAATGTCTTGACCTCAGATCAAAGTTTAGGCTGACTATGCAACTTCTGACTCATGAATCTCATAACTTCTAATCGCTGCAACATTCCATAACAAAAACGCATGACCATGTCACACTATTATTTCTTGGATTATGCGTTTCTGGTTTTGTGCAAAAAATGCATGAAAATGCGATGAATAATAAGGCTGCAATATTAAAGTTTATGTGAGGTAGCCGAATAGGCAGAGGGTTAGTATTGGAAGTATGCAGTTCAGAAATGAAGCAGAACTTAGCTGCGCTGGCGTGAATGAGCATCCTCCGTGAAGGACTAATATGGTATTCCCTGGGTAGCCTTGGTGCTGCGTTTTATGCAAATTAGCGTTATTGAAACGTTCAACATACGGCTGCGTAGCTGCACTGCGGACACTGATACGGTTTTTCGCCAGTATGAGTTCGTTGATGTGTACTCAAGTGGTCACTTCGTGAGAATACCTGTCCGCAGATATGGCATCCATACGGTTTTATACCAGTATGTAGGCGCATATGTCTAAAACAACAGGAAAATTTACGCAGTCTTTGAGGATACGTGTCTATTAAATGCAGTTAAGTGTTATCTCGTTTATGTTTCTCATTTACTATTGCTAACAGAGCCCCTTTCATAAAGATATAAAGCGGAAGAGGATCGAATTCTTCATTTTCAATATCTTCGAATTCTTCGACTTGTGATGTGTTTTATTCATCACACCACCAGTCTCCGAGGCTTTGTCTACGATTTGGCACAATTAAGTTTGCAAATTTAACATCCACATACATAAAATCTAAAGTATCCAACGGCTGTTGCCGTTGGATACTTTAGCAGCTTGCCCTTTTCAAATTTTGCCGGCCTTTCATAGGTGTCCGTAAAACTAATGTGCACAAAATACGTTACATTGTGGGCATGAAACTAAAGTGGAGAGGAATATTTACCGTGTTAACATATCGCTTCTTCCGAACGATTTGGTACATAACGTGCACTTATGAGCTTTCGCGCCATCTTCGCCAACCAGTGAAGCAGAACGATCACGATGTCGCGACGCGATATGTTTCACCAGTCGGTCTTGCATAGCAAATGCCTAAAAACGAGGATAATGATGAAGTACGCATCGTAATGCAGTTTCCATGCACACATCTCTCACGGCTAGCGAATACCACGCATTTTCAGACTCATTTCTCCGTCTTGAAAATAGATATTTTCAATTTGGCTTAAAATCCTTAATCCTGTTCTTAATATTTTACATTCTGATGCAGCCTAAGAATGGATTATAAACTGGCGTTTTTTGGCACAGCGACGAAATAAATTTCTATTTGTCAATAAAATTTAATACCTTGCAACGGTTCTTGAGACTGACTATATTTTGTGCTTTCGATATTCGCTTTTTCACGTTTTCACCCAATAGGAAGAGGATTTCTAGAGAATAAAAAAGGGTCAACTTTCCTCCAGCCTTCTTCATCCCTCATTCCTTCTTGTCCGCTACTCTGGAAGGGCCACCGAAATGTAACCAAAATCCAGAAAAGCCAGAGCAAAAATTACTTGTAGCTCTACCAGTTAGCTTGTTTTGAGGAAAAACACACCTGTCCGCAGTGATGGCAGACGTAGCTCCCGGAAGTGACGTCCGATTCTGAACGACTTCTTCGCCACTGCACTGCACCTGTCTGTAACAATCATAGCAGTAATTTCTACTAATCGCACTTTCGTCGCACTTTCTTATCGTGGGCCCTATTCGATAATGTATCTCATCCCAGCTGAGAAGTAGAAATATTGAAAACAAGACGATGATGCTCAATAAACAAATGGTTATAGTCTTGCCAAATGCTTCTTTCAGAAGAACCGTTAAGTTGAAGCACCACAGAAAACAAAATGAATGTCAAAATTGCCACTAGGCTGACAGTCAGGGCGAAGCAGCACTGGTCAAAGCAACTAGAATGGCTGACATCTGCACAGTTGGAGAACCATCTATGATTTGCAGCTAACCAAAGTGGAAATTTATCATGACGTATAACTCTGATAATCCGAACAGTCCTGTCGTTTGTGATGCAGATACGACTGGCTATGTTAAATCTATGACGACAATCACCAGGAGATCGTTCACAGTACCCAAACCTCCGAGTCCTCTCACAATCCTCCACTACCTCTCTTTGTCCAGTGGTTGCACTCCAAATAACAACGCGGAGCAACTCTTGCGCATCCTCGACTACATGTAGGGTACGGTAGCTTTGGGAAGCTCGGGCAGGACATGAAACGTTATGCACATAGGGCTTCAACAAAATGCATTTTGCACTTACATACGCACAAAGTACTTATTAGAAATTACTAAAACTGAGCCTCATTTGTTCTATAAATGATAGAAACATGGAATGAATTCATCGTAAATCTGGCTTGAATTTTTACCGTGAAAAAATATGCTACGATTATGCTAGGAATGTCAAGGCCACTTGGGTAGTCGGTGTGGGGATCTCATGTTAACGATTTTATTAGGAGGCTCCTACACGTCGAGTATAGTTTTGATTCTGATCTGCATACCTCCAGTTAATACCCGTCGTTAATTCATACGCCCTCTCTCCCCCTTCCTCCCCCCCCCCCC